TTTTTCCGTTGTTTCTCAACAGGGCAAAGAGGCGAAAGAAAATAAGATAAACCAACCCTTGTGGGTAAAACAAAAGCAGTTTTAGTATAAGCAAAGGTCCACACGCAGAAGCAAAAGCAAACAGATTTATTCTCTCCTTCTCATGAAGAGGTGATGTCGGCCCTTCTCAGGAGCAGGGCTCCGCTACGTGTAGTGGTTGCCTCAGAGGACCAAGGGTGACCCCAGCCCCTTCCTCCTTTCTCCCAGCTTTATACTGAGCAGATGTCATATGGTCTGGAATATCCCTTTGGTCAGTTGGGGTCAGCTGACCTGGCTGTGTCCCCTCCCAAGATCTTGCCCACCCCGTCCCACTGGGGGGGAAATGTCGGAGAGAGCCTTGGTGCTGTGCAAGCACTGCTCAGCAGTAGCCACAACACCAGGGTGCTATCAACACCCTGCCAGCTCCCAGCATAAAACACAGCCCCATGAGGGATGCTGTAGGGGAAAACTAATTCCGGCTCAGCCAGACCCAGTACATCTATTTTTTACTGAGTTTACTGAGTTCTTATACTATTCCAAATCTACCAGCAGAAGACAAGTAAAAGACGTTATACAACTGAGTAGATACATGGAGGGAGATATAAGTTTTGTTGCAAGACATGGTTGTCTTGCATGTACCTACTTAGTGTACATCTGAACATCTGTACATCTGTACGTCTGTTGTGTGGTAACGTATTTCCTAACATAGTTAAACATGTTTTCCTAACATAGGTGTGTTTACTAGGTTCTGCTGGAACTCAGGAGTTGAAAGCTGAGGTACTCACATATGGCAGCTTTTGCAAGACAGCACCATGAGATTAAAAAATCATTGACAAAGAACATGGGAAAATGCCAAGGCACTCAATGCCTCCTTCACCTTAGTCTTTACTGATAAGATTGGTCTTCAGGAATCCCATGTCCGTAAAGTCTGTTGATCAAGGAAAACTCAGAGGAAAACAATCAGACTACAGAGCATTTAAGCAAACTGGACACAGACAAGTCCATGGGAACATACAAGAAACATGCAAAGTGCTGAGGGAACTGGCTGACGGCATTGTGAAGCCACTCAATTATCTTTGAAAGGTCACCGTGACTGGAAGAGTTTCCTCATAACAGGAAAATAAAGTCACTTTTATGCTCAAGAATGATTAGGAGGAGGATCCAGGAACTAAAGGCTGGATAGTCTTACCTCGAAGCCTGGAGCAAATTCTCCCTGAAGCCATTTGCAGATATGAAGGACAGGAATATGACTAGGAGTAGTAAGCATAGATTTCTTGAGGGGAAGGAATTCCTGACCACACTAATAACCTTCTACAATTACTTGACTGGTTTCATGGATGAGGGGAGAGCAGTGAATGCTGTTTATCTCAACTGTAGCAAGGCTTTTGGCACTGTCTCTCGCAACATCCTCATAGACAAACTGTTGGAACAGACTAGTTAAATGGACAGTGACATACATGGAAAACTGGCTGAATTGCCGTGCTCAGAGGGTTGTGATCAGCAGCGCGAAGTGACTGGCCAGGTGGAGGCCTGTCACTATTGTGTACTGCAGGGGTCAATACTGGGCCAATATTTCTTAACATCTTCATTAATTGTCTGGATGAGGGGACAGAGTGTACCTTTGTACTGGTTTTGGCTGGGATACAATTAATTTTCTCAATAAGTTTGCAGGAGATACAAGACTGAGAGGAATAATTGATGCCTTACAGGGTTATGCTGCCATTCAGAGCATCTTGGATAGGCTGCAGAAATGGGCCAAAAGGAGCCTCACAGTGTTCAGCCAAGGCAAATGCAGTCCTGCACCTGGGAAGGAACAATCTGGGATATGACCAGCTGGAATGCAGCTTTGCAGAAAAGGCTATGGGGGTCCTGGTGGACACCAAGTTGAACATGAGCTTGCAATATGCCCTTGCAGCAAAGGCCAGTAGCCTCCTGGGCCGCATTAGGCAGAGCGTTGACAGCAGGTTGAGGGACGGGATCCTTCACTCTGCTCAGCACTGGTGGGAAACATCTGGAGTGCTGGGTCCAGCTCTGGGCTTTCCAGTACAAAAGAGACATGGACTTGCTTGTATGGGCCCAGCAAAGGGTCACAAAGATGATTAAAAGACCGGAGGATCTATCATACATGAAGAGGCTGAGATTGCTGGGGCCACTCAGCCTGGAGAAGAGGAAGTTCAGGGGGATCTTACCCATGTTCATAAATATCTGATGGAGGTTAAGTAAAGAAGAAGGATCCAGATTCTTCTTGGTGCCCAGTTACAGGACAAGAGACAGTGGGCACAAACAAACTCAGAACATTCCACTTAAACATAAGAAAATCTTTTACTGTGAGGGTAACTGAACACTGTCACGCATTGCCCAAAAAAGCTATGGAGTCTCCATCCCTGGAGATACTCAAAATCTGACAGGGCATGGTCCTGAACAACCTGCTTTAGCTGATCCTACTCTGGGACTACATGGACTAGGGGGACTGGGTGATCTCCAGAAGTTCCTTCCAGCTTCAATGATTCAGTAATTCTGTTGCTTACACATAGAATAATATGTTGGTCAAGCTGTCCAGCTAGTAGAAATATCATCAGATAAACAGGAAAATAAGATTCTATGGAGGGAGAATAACAGACTATTTGACCTGTTTTAGCTTGGTGTTGAAAGTGAAAACATATTCACAATGCAAAAAGGAAGTGTTTGTTTGTTGTTTTGTTTTTTTTTTTTAAAAAGCAATTGTTGCAACACTGCATCAGAACTTAACAGCCTCAAAAGATATTACTGTTGTGCTTTTTCTTCCCCAAACCAACATGCTTGTTTCCTTGAATGTGAGTGGTCTAGCGCTCAGGAAGATGATAGTATGCTGGATTTCACTGGCACATTATCTTTCCATGTTTCAAAAAAGAAAATAATAATGTTTCAATCTTTTGTAAAGTTAATTCAGATCTAAATTTGAAACCAACTGTAGTTATTTATATTCTGTACACTGACTTTTTTTTTTTTTTATTATTATAAGGAAAATGATGTCATTAAAATAATAATGAGAAAAGAAGGAAGAAAGTACTGGATACTCAATGCTTGTATCAACTTTTCTGTTACTGAAATTCAGTCATTTAGCATTAATCTTTTTTGATTCAGTTGAGAACCCCTGTTTATTTCATCATGCCTGAAAAAAATAGGAGGCTAATAGACAACTAATTGAATATTAAGTCCCCATTCATTCTGCTACACGTCAGTGACTGCTGAATAACAGGAAAGGAGGTGGGAGGGAAGAGATTACAAATAGCTATTTAACAAAAGCTCTGTCAGGCTAGAACAGATATTGCTAAATATTTGTTTATGGCAAGGCAGACATCTCCAGATCAGATACATGAAGAGATACTTCTCTTTTTTCGGTGGATTGGAGTCAGTGTGAAAAGTAGTCTTTGCTGGGAATTTCAGCAGCAAGCCTTTGCATACAGAGTAGAATAGGTGTGGAAACATAATTTTAAAATTTTAAGCTAAGAAGGAAGTGAGAGAGGAGTGGTTGCAATGTTGAAACATTCTGCACTGGCACTATGGATAAAGAAAAATCTATTACACTTATGCACTCACTAACTCATAAATTAAATGCAAAGATGTAGCTCAGTGTATTTATGTAACAACTTCCAATGAAAATAGGTGAATTAAATTAGTGTTGATTTTTTTTTTTTTTTTTTTTTTTTTTTTTTTTTTTTTTAATAGATATTTACATGATCTGTTTGGGAAAACTCACTTTCTACTTGTTTTCAGCCACATCTGTACCAGATTGTATGGAGGCTGAGGGATCTGTCCTTTTGTTTCTATGTATATTGCAACATTTTTATTGCATTCCACAGGTCCTCCAGTAAACGTTACTTGCAATATTTTTATCAACAGTTTTGGATCAGTCACAGAAACCACAATGGTAAGTGCTATGATGCTATTGGCAAGAGAACAACAATACTTAATATATGTCATGAACAAAACCTGTCAATATTTCTATTTATTGTTCAACTTGCAGGTCCTCCTGTAAATGTTACCTGCAACATATTTATCAACAGCTTTGGTTCAATAGCAGAAACTACAATGGTGAGTGGGACTGGTCATTGAAGCCATCTTGTGAAGGAGTGGGATGTGATGTTGAATAGAGATGCTCAGGGCGTGGGGACACTTACTAAGTTATTAAGCTACTAAAAGTCTACCAGCTGAATTAAAATAAAATAAATAAAATAATAATATGAAGATATATATAAATTATTAAACTCAAGTACCCAAGTCTAAAGGTACATATGTAGTGACAGCACCATAGTCTGTAGTGACTGTGATGACAGCAAATATAGGTGTGTGCAAACCATCTTTCTCAGGTTTTATTAGCAATGAAGAGGCAGAGGAGTGGCTGGAGCTCAGCTGTGGGGCTCCCCGCCAAGTACTCCATATTTTGAGTGGGTCTTACAACACATGCTGAATTATCTGCTGCTGCAGACTGTACTGACAGAGCTACCAGAACAGTCTTTAACTTATCTCTGTGAATTGCAGCCACATCAGTAACTGAAGTAAATGCATAACTTGAGTCAAATAAGTAAAACATATAGTTATAGAAGACTTAGGTATTCTGAGGGTTAAATTGGTACTGGGAGATGATGGGATCCCAGCTGACTGAAATGTTTATTTTGACTGAATTCAGTGAAGGCTATCAGTCAATAAAGCAAGGTCAAAAAGAAAATGTCAGTTCCAATTTTGATAGATATAGATATAGATATAGATATATATAAATAAATAGTTCAATTGTTCATTTCAATATGGTATTTTTTTTAATTGCCAAATTTTATGTTTAACAAAGTCCAGGTAAAAAACATTTTCTTTTTTAGTCTAGAAATAAATTTTCTTTTTCTTTCAATATTTGCTAAGAAAAATGAAAAATATTTTTTCTCAGTCCATTTAAAAAGATGCTGATTTTAAAAATCTTTTTCAAACCATTAACAAAATGATGGGTTATTCAAGCATACATACAGACCTGACTACTGGAGTTAGTCCAGAGAGACATTTTTGATGGCTTGCTTATAATAATGTGATAAACCCATAATAATTATCAGGTGCTCATATGCAAGTGGGTTAAACCAATTCTAGAAAGGGTTTAGTGACAAATCCCAGTTTGACTTTGAACACTTCGAGTCATACTGCCACAAAATAAACCAAAAATGAGTACTCTCACCTTCATTGAAAGTTTGCAAGAGTTATTTTCATTGCCTCAGGACACTTTGGAAACAATTGGAATGTAGTTTCACATCCCCGTTTTCCAGGGATTCCTACACAGTGTCTGGGTATTTCTGTATCTGCTGAAGCCAGAGGCAATATAAGTGCTTAGCATCCTTTAGGACTGAGTTCTTGGTAAATAAAAATGAACTTACTACCCACAAATAGATTTAAGGCATACCAAAGAACTATTTTTTTTTTTTAATAAAATGGGTTAGATACCACCTTGCAATCCTTGCATTATGAAGGAAGAGCAGATATTTAACAAAACAATTATTTTAATATTCAAATACTTATTTAATTTTAACTGTAATTCATGCCATCGTTTTAGAAAGTGGTATCTAAGGAATGTAAGAACACAAAATCTTCTGCTTAGAAGTGTTTTTATTTTAAAACCCACCCTGTTATTTAATGTTTTCTAGAGATAAAGTGCCAGTTATTGCTAGGGCAGGTTGCTTTCTTAAATAATGTGGGAAAGACTCTTCTATAAATGACAAGCTATAAAGTATATATATTAATGCTTTAGAGTATGTATCTGTAATATTTTAAAAACTCCTTAAAATAAAACTGAAATCAAGTTAAAAATGACAAGGAAAATAATATCCTGATGTAACATAATGATCATCAGACTTAATTTTCATTAAAAAAAAAATCTTTTCCTTTGTTTAAAGGATTCTCAGAAGATAGCTATGAATGTAGCCTCTTTTACCAAGCCATGTTTGTTGATCCTAGCATGTAGAGGCATCAGCATAGCATTAACTAGCAAAAATCCTGCACGTCACTGGCTTTACAAGATGGCATTCAATGAAAATATTTGCACGACCTAATGCTGATTGCATTAATTAGACTCCTTCATTGCTTTGATTAAATCCCCTCATTGCATTTTACCTTTTATCAAATATGTTAATGTGCACCTTTCCAATGTTCATTAACACATTCTGCTGAAAACAGCCAAACATTCAAGTAGATGAAAACAAAGACTATTGGCTTTCTTAGTTTGCTTTGTTCATAATACCTGCCTAAAGTGTGGAAGAGATTTCTCTTAACATGCTGTTCAATGGTTTGATATTAATTTTATTAATGCTGACACTTCTTTAATGACTAGTGTGACTAAATAGATGTAATCATGTGTTAAAAATGTTGTCATCCCTTGTGATAAATAATGAGTTTTGTTTGACTTCTAGGATTCATTTTTCCGTATAAAATGCTCTTGATGGTTTTGACATAAAACTAAACGATTCATTTAAAACTCTGGATTGTAAATTCAATAGAGACACTCATTTCTCAGAGGACAGGAATGCTTGGTGAAACCATGTATATGTAGTGAAGAGACATTATCAGAATATAACTTGGGCAATCTAGAGCAGCTCATTGGAAATTGGGAGATGAAAACCTTCTCAGAGGAGCTGTCAGTAGGAGAAATGGACATGGTAAACATGATTACAGTCCCAGACCTACCAAATTCAGTAAGTGTCTCAATAAGTTAGCAGGAGTAGCTTCTGTTTTCTGATTGGGACAGGCACCAGGATGAAATTCATCTCTCTGTGAAAGGCCAGCACAACTCATGTCCAGCATATTCTTCTGAAAACTAAAACCTTTAATTCAGAAATAAAACAGGATCTTGTGCTGGTTTTGTCCAAATGGATGAATTCAATAGAGTCTTCATGAGTTTTGTTCCCAAAGATCTAGGGAAGCAAAATGCATATGTATTAGTTTTTCTGCATCTATGGGACAGTATCACAATTCTTTTTTTTTTTTTTCTTTTTCTCCAAAATAAATGTTTTTCTTCCATACTAGATTGATATATATTATACCAAAACAAAAATAGTACAAAAAAGGCCAGAGTCAAGATGGAATTGTCAGAAATTTTCCTCATTGATTCACTCGACTTCCATTTAAACCCTAACTTGAAAAGAAAGAGAAGACAAAAAAAAAAAAAAAAAAAAAACCACACCCAAAAAACAGCTATGCCAGTAAGGTCTGTATCTATTTTTGGAAACATTCACACGTGCAGTATTCAGCAGAAAATTCACTGTACTGCATGACTGCAGTTGAGTATCATAGATGAGTAATCTACATCAGGCTGGGCAGAGTCCCAAAGAACTCAGATGTTCAGTGTTGCTAATGACCAGGATTTTTTAGCTATCAGCTGTAGGAGAAGCTAAGAGCAGTTTGTACATTGATGAGTTAATTGTTAATTACAGAAATGACTAACTGTGAGGACATTATTATTGTCATTATGCCCTATAATCAATGACTGACACTATGCGGCAGGTTCTCTGTTGGAGTAAATGCATCAAACTCCAGTTGTGTTTTGAGTACTTATGTTAGCAGAAAAATTGATATTATTTTAAAAGCTTATTTTAAAGCTGTGGCTGTGTGTATGATACTATCTTCCCACTAGAAAAAACATAATTGCAGATAAGGTTGTTAGCTCCTGATTAATTCACATGTATAATGTTAACTGCATAAGGTACTCCCACTGAAGCCAATGGGGACACATCGCATGCTTAGGTATAACCAAGAGCTCTTCTGTCACATGGGCTTGAAATAGGTCATTAAACTACGACTTTTCAGTTAGCATTCATATTTAGGATTTAGAGAATAGTCTCTTTGGCAAGGCCCTCCCATGCATGGAAGGACAGCTAAGTCTGCTGATTGCCTCAGACATCCGACTCAACACCTGGACAATCAGTGCTGTTGTAGGGGAAGACGGGAGGAAGGTTAAGATCTAAGATGAGTGTCAATTCAAAGACAGAGAGTAGTACTGAAGAGGGAGTGGGACTCCCCTGCACCTCCCTGCCACAGCAGTGCCCAAGACCAAAGTGACCCAGAGATTTTCTGAAGCTCTAGGCAGTGAATCTGGTGGACATGGATTTGCTGAAAGACTACTTCTGTGTAGCGTCCTGTAACACAAACTAAGTATATCTGTGGATTAGGTCCCTAAAACTTCAGACAAATCTACTAAAACTGATCAGGTGAATATTCTTTTAGTATGTTAATATTACTCTGATTCTATGACTCGAGAACAGAGGAAAACTGTTTATCTGAGTTGTCTTGAGCTATTGCTGACATTAGTGTTGTAACTGAGATTGAATCTTCAGGTCCACACTCCTCATTCAGAGCAGTGGTGCTGTCAGAAAGAATCTGTGGAGCAGGTGTACTCATGGTCGTGTAGGAGTGCATTACTACAGTCCACCCACTTCTACCCTGAGGAACTTGCAAAATACACACTGTAGTATGCCTGAGATCCATGTTGTGATACTGTTCTCAGGAGATTTTTTCTTCAGAAGATTGTTATAATGTTAGCACAGGAAAAGTACATTCAAAATTCTGCACTTGATTAGGTCTGTGTATACACACATCCCTCTCAACTGCTTATACCACAACCATAGGAGAAAAAAAGTAATGATGGTTTTGTGATATGCATGTTATATTCTATTTTTATTTCTGACTAAAATATCTATACATATATATATATATATGCAAAGCCTATCAGACGTAAACAAAGGTTTCAGTGCTGGTTTGCTTCCAACAAAAAGCTTGGAGAAAGCATTTCTAAGTGTATCAGGGTGATAGCTCTGATGTGTTTATGAAGGTATATATTGAAAAAGGCAGTGTAATCCTATTTGCATTATTTATGCTTTTGGTATAATATATATCATCATATGCAAGCTCTCCTGTGAATTAGGATTTTTCAGACTGGTTTTTGTTGTCTAAATCATCAACTACTGAAGTTAATGAAAGTACATTTATTTTTAGATATTTCTGAACAATTTGCTGATTTGACTTATTTATGATTTCTATGTCATGGGGGGAAAAAAAATCCCTGTTTTCCATACACTTCATTCTGTATCTTATTTCAAAGAAAAATTAAAGGCAGTTGCACAACTAGTTGTAGCAATTTTATTCTATCAGTGGCTGCTGCCTTCTTTTCTGCAGAATGATAATCAAGTGCTTTCCTGCATTTATAACTAAAACTGTCCCATACAAACTCATAAGACTCTCTCAGTTTCTAAGATCAGGAAACAAGGGAAAGCATGCTTAGGGTTAGTATATCCTCACAAGATGTGAACACATTTTGTAAGCTCAGAACTGCAAGTAGCTATTTGATCTTTTAACTGTGTGAAACAACGCTAACATAAAAAGCACAGTGGCTTGTGAAAAACAGATACAGGCTTTAGTAAGTATCTTTAATAAATGTGCTGTTCTTGAGATGTCTCTCAGGTCTGTCTTGCTCCGATTAACAGACATTACTGTTTTGACTCACATCTACCCAACACCAAAATGAAATGGATAAATAAAGCAAGAAAATCACATCCCTAGTGAAATTGTAAAACATCGTCCCATTGGGTTAAAATACTGGATCAGTTTGGATGTCAGAAATACTCTGTCAGGGCATCAGCACAACTCATCACCAACCCACTGAATGAAGGGTGGGAAATGTGGAAGCTTGGAAAGGCTCATTCACAGAGTCTGCATATTGGGCAAACTGCTTTCTGCAGCTCTCATCAGAGTGAGAATATTTATTTACATTTCAAGGATGATAAATTCTTCAGATTATGCAGTTCAGTGGCCTAACTAAACCCAGGTCAGCTCATACATTTTCCAAGTCAAAAGCACAGTGCTGCCATTTTAATGTTCTGTGGCTACCATAAAGCAAATCCTAAACATGAGAGGTCCGTACAGCTGCTAGAATTATTTGATAACATATTTCTTCCGAGAATGCAATCGACATAAATTTTATTAAATATTTTCCTTTTAGAGGAAGAGTAGATGTATTTCTAAGAGTGTTCACAAGCAAGTTAAATGTGGTAATTTCAGGTAAATATGCCATAATAGTGGGTAAAGGTAGGGGAGGTGAAGTTCTTATTTGCTGTCTTTGGAAATTCAAGATAAAGATAATAAGCATTAACATCCTTCCATTCCCTCCAGAGAGTTTAGACCCTAAAAGCTCTTTTCACACTCTCCTTTAATAGCCAGTTCTTGACACAGCATTAATATTGCTTCTAAATGAACCTCTAAGTAATTGCTGCCTTTCCCATTTCTGACTAGCAGACCATTGTGCAGAAGAATGCAATTAGAACAATTTTAATGGGATGCAGTGAGGGAGGAGTGAATGAAGGAACATACAGAGAAAAGCATACGGTAGACAGAAAAAGGATACAAACAGTAAATAAGTGCTGGTTTAATTTCTTCTATACAGATCTGGCTTCACTGGAATTAGCAACCATTCATGAGTACATTAGATATAATTGATTTACATATTGGAAGCAATTTATTTAAATTAGTAGTTTTATATATTCTTTGTTGAGTTTGTATATATCTAGCTGCAATGCTTTTTTGACTTCCTAAGTACCTCTGAGTTACTCCATAGCATTTGAAAGAGGGTTATATTTAGTATTGGAGGTTGAAGTTAATATTTTTTTTATCACTGAAGTAATTTTGATTTGGAAAACATACCAGTTGTGTTTGTTCGGTTCAATACAGCATTTAGACTGCTTTATTTTCAAATGACAACTCTTATGTTCAAAGGATAACGTAAATGTTTGCTGTAATGCTGATAGAGCATAAAGAAAGCTAAAGTGGGCTTCCAGTTTGGGTAATTGGCTTAGTAACCTTTTTTACATGGCATTTCTGTAGGATTACAGAGTGAACATTTTTTTGAGACAGCAGTGGAACGACTCACGTCTGGCTTATAGTGAATATCCTGATGATTCCCTCGATTTGGATCCCTCTATGTTGGACTCTATTTGGAAGCCAGATTTATTCTTTGCCAATGAGAAGGGAGCAAACTTCCATGATGTCACAACAGACAACAAGTTGTTGAGGATTTCTAAAACTGGAAAAGTGCTGTACAGTATCAGGTAAACAATTTTTTTTTTTTCTCTTTGTCTTCTTTCCACTCACTCCCTGTTTTTCTGGATATAACTATGCTTATAGAAAATAATGTACATTTTTAATTTTTTGTTGTCCCATGTGTACAATTGAAATGACACTTAATCATACTAGGGTAGAATGAAAATTTGCATATATTCCTTTTCTAAGCTTTTACTTTTTGCAAAATAGTCTGCAAGCAGCACAGCAGTCCTTCTTAGTCTTGTTGGAAACTTGAGACTGTCTAAAACTGTAATGGTATGCCTCAGTAATTCCCATTAGTATTAGCTCAATCACTGCTCTTACAAAGAGAAGAAACCAACTCCTCAGTAGTTTGTGGGTTGCAATTTAAAAGTAAGGGGGTATTTTAAATGACTGCTCAACATCTTAAGTAAAAAAATGTTTGAAATGCAATAAATTTGACATGCAAGTCACTGGGTAATCGCATGTATCTATTCACATTTTAAAATAACTGGAATTACGGAAAATGTTTTTTAATACTAAGTGCATTGAAGTGTGTGTCATGTGACTGGATTTAGGCTGAATTAATAAAGACTGACAAAACATGATTTGATACGACCTGATGAAATGGTACATATGCAGAGAATCAGAATTGCATTGCACAGGCATAAAAAGCAGCAAATAATCTGCGGTGTTTATTTGACATTCAGTTTTCTGTGCATCACTAGTTGCTTAGCATAGGTATTTAAAGATGTAAAACACTGCATTATTGCTCTTATGTTTGTTTTTAAAAAGTTAATTTGTGTTTCATTTGTTCCTGGGAATGCTTGTCAGCTTATGCCTTTCTTGCATTGTGGAAAGTAAACATGATAGTATTTGGTTAACAGGTTGCTTAGTGAATTTATTCACCTGTAAGGCAGATTGGTTTAGAAGGTAGTTGTTTCTGACTAGGCATTCTGTTTGTGACCTGCATGTTCATTAAGGAATTATTATTGATCCAGGTTCAGGACAGCTGTGTTCTTTAGGATGTTTAAATAATTAAATAATAACATGGCACTTTCCTTCATTTACTTCATCCTTGTAGAAATTCCTTGATAAGATCCCAGTAAAGTTTGCATGGATTAAGCAGGGTAGAAAAGATATGTTTATGGAGCAAGGTTTCAAATTAGCATACCTGAACAGTTTGAAAAGAATAACAGGATACAAAGATGAAAGTAGGGCTAACAGAGTGATATCACTGTTACTATGCTGTCACTTACAAATATTTCTTGTTTCACCCTGGGAAATAAATTAATTAATCTGTTTGTTTGAATGGCATCAGACACCATCTTATTGAAAGCAACAGTGCAGTTGGGTGTTGTTCTAAATGCAAATGGATAATTTTCCTGACATTTGTCCATGCAGGATAAGTAATATTTTGAGCTGTTATATCACTTTTGTAAAATTCCCACGCCCAAATGCAAATTAATCTGAAGCAGAGTAAGTAGTATTCCAATTGAAGTACTAAGCAAAACTCATTGTTTCTCATTCGTATCACACAGCAGTAACAGAAGTTTGCCTGGTGCCTCTAACATGGTATATAATTTTTTAGTACTTTACAGTGAAGAAAACTTTCCCGAGTATAGATACTTGAAGTCAGAATTAATTAGAAAAGCTAGTCTTTATTCTTTAGATACCAGGCCAGATGAATCTCTGTATTGCCAGTTTTAGTTGTGCAAGAATGCTGCCATTTTCACTACTGCACCAAAAGCACTTTGCCTGACATCATGGTATTTCCAAATTTAATAAAATCAAGGTCAAGTTAATCTCACATAAACTGCTCTCTGAATAAAGTGAGGTTTGAACTGCTCCTAGTAATTCATGGGTAAGAAGCAAGGTGTGTGTACTATATGACAATGGTATTCCTCTTCCCTGTACACTGCACTGAAAACATGGAAATATGCTACACAGGAGGGACAACTGGCTTATGCTGTTAAACACTGTCAGAAGCCAATCCTGCCCTTCCTGAAAAGAATTTGGAAGGTCACCTAGAACTAGATATCAGACACAGGACACTTGGCATAAGATATGGGTGCTCAGATAAGACATGGAAACGGGGGTCTGGCTCATGTGTTACTTCCACTGCAGTGTTTAGTTCTGGGAATTATCTCACCCCATGGTAAGCATGAGGCTCTACCTCCTTCTCTCAGTGAGGGATAAGTCATCCAGCTTTTACTGATGATGGTAGGCAACAGGTAGATTTCCATCACAGTTTATCTTAGAATAATTAGTTATGATGCTTATGTCTGCAGACTCCTAGATCTGTATTTAATTCTCTGGAAGCTGTTATAGAAAATAGATCCAGACTTGTTGATGGTTGATGTACACACCTATGAATCATGTAAGCTTAGGAGTACAAACCTATTTTTAGATATTTGTTGCATGCTCAAATGACTACCTTGGTATTTGTTTTGATCCCAGATAGCATGCTAAACATACTGTATAGAACCTGAGGCTCTGTATCTGGATAGCTCATCTGAACCTTTGGGTACTGCAGGGTGAACTAGAACCTTGTGGAGGCTCAATATGTTATTGCCACTGGACACGTAACAACAGCTCTTAGAGGTGCATGTATTTTGAGAAGTCAGCAGTTAGAGCAAAGTTATATTCAGCAAACAACTACACTTTAGTCAAGATCAGTCTCAGTTGCACTCTTTGAGCTGTGAAACAGTTAAATAGCTATAACTTTTATTTTTAAACCCTCCGGAGAGAGCAGTCAACAAGAGGAGTTTGTTATAGCAGCGTTCAATAAAATTAGCTTAAGCTGTGAGTATTTTCTATGCTGAAAAAACAATGAGGGTTAAAAGCAGAACCTACATAATGTCATCCCTAGATGTCTGTGACTCATCTGCTCCCAAACCTTGAATGATCTCTGCATGGATTGGATTTTGTGGAGGGTTATGCACTTGGAAGGAGTTGCAGTGCTCTGTGATGATACCGAGAATCCTTTTCCTGGCACTCACATTCTGTATGACACCCGAATTTTTCATTGCATACACTGCTTCACTGATTTTATGTTCCAGGGGCAAGGATTGTACCTTCTCTGGCCCATTGTGGACACCTGGGACATCAGGAAAATGTTGAAAATAACCTCACAGGAAGCTTCACATTCTCTCCAAGCCACCCATTTGTGCTACCTGATTCCCACAGACTCATTTCAGCCTGCCAGCCAGCTCAGAATATTAGCATCTGCCAAAAAGCTTATTTTAGCAAAATGATAGAAACTGGAATGGTTTTATTTAAGGTTCAGGGATTTTTTTTTCTGCATTAATTGCCTCCCTCTCCCTTTAATATTTTCAGTGCGTCTCAGCCATATAAGCTTGATACAGAAGGTGATATAACTCAATGGTAATATTGATCCTTTTTTTTTTTTTTTTTTTTTTTTTTTAATCTGCTGCTCCAGAAAACACTCCCAATTGTCTGATAAGGTTGTAGAGCTGTGCTCTGAAATGTAATGCCAGGCGTTTAGCCAGAAAGAGCTACAAAGCAGATTACTTCATATTTTTAAAATATGCAAAGATTTTAGAAGGTGTTGCATAATTTGACAAGAGAGACGCTTGGAATTCTAGGGAGGATATTTGTGCAAATTCACAAACGACATTTCTCACCCCATTTTTGTTATTCTGTTCAAAGAATTTCCTCAAGTCTTTCAAACTAACTTTTTCTGTCTTTGTTTATTGTCACAGTGAAAGAAATGCTACAGTTATGTAGAAAAGTAGTTCTTCATGGTTTCAGCTCTTGACCTAGATTTAATTGTTAAATGTTATTATGGATGAAGGTAGAGTGTCTGCTAGAGAGCAGTACTGTGCTGTTAGGGCACCACAAAGCAGAGAAAATTCAAGCTATTAGATTTCTCGACAGTTGTGCAGCTGGAGGTGATTACTAGTCCCTCTATTCGGCAACAAGTAGCTGAGAGGATGAGTTGGCACATCCAGAAGCCCTCACCTGCTTATGCAACCAAAGAGAAGTATCTGTGAAAACAGCACATTTATTTGCAATTCTATCTCCTGTGCCAGCTACCTTACTCAGGAGTTTCCAAAATCAACTCTTTCTAGTGTGGTCATAGTGCTGAGTGACAGACCACTGAGTCGACTCCCCTCTGCATCAGCACTGTCCCCTACACCATTTTGGGTTATATTATGAGTTATGACAACCATATCCCTCATGTAAATCATCAGAAGTAATCTATAGCACTTTTATAATTCAGCTTTTCTGAGTGAAACTTCTGTGTTTTGTAGTCTCCTCTATAGTTGTATTCTTTGCCCTGTGGGAAAGAAATACAAAGCAGATAAAGGAAATACATAGGTAACACTCTTAGTAACACTGCAATAGATGATTCATAGGGCAAAAAGTCTGCTATCCTTCTGAACTCTTCTGTTTTGAAACAAGATCAGATCTTAGATTTTTGCGTGGCTACTACAGAACATGTTGCCATGTTACAGTAAAGTCGGGATTGGGTTTTCTAACAATTTTGGGGTACAGACCTTATCAGCTATATGGTAATGAATCTCCATTTACACCTGATGAGATCATTGCATGTAAATCATCCATGGCATGGCACAGTCTAGCCTAACAGAGTGGTAGGAAATGTCATGTTATGTTCTACAGCTCTGTGTGCATCCTGCTCTTCAATTTGATGGCTTCAATTTTATTTTACAATCTAATGTTGGGATTTAAGAGGATTTGGACTTTACCAGCAGAATTGTCTTTCCATGTGACAGGTTAGCAGAGGGGGGAGTAGAGAGACTGTTATGATTGACATGGCTGCTTACTATGTAGGTACCCCTTTCTCCAACTTCACACAATCATATTCATTGTCTTAACTCCTATCAGGATAATATATTGAGAACGTGGGGATTTTCCATTGGAAGTTAATCTCAATCAGCACAGGAATGTTTTCGTAGAAAACTATTTAGTTCTCCCACTGGCAATCTACACACAGTCCCATGCTCGCTGCCTTGACTTTCCAAAAACATAAAATGTCTTGACA